CAAGTTAAAAAAGACGTTTAATTTCTTGGTCTGTTGAGCGACTATTAACTACCCAAGGAGGATTCTGCTATTTGTAGGTACATTAAGGAAGTTCGTTAAGGAAACCAACACGTAAAATCTTTAAGCACGCATTACACAACCGTTTACTTATGTCGGTATTTAGGCGTTCCTTGTACAGTCTAAGCCACATTTTGGAGATCTGACTGTCTGTTCGCATATTTGACCTCTAAAACCACGAATGGATATAAATTAAATTCTCTATTGGAATTTATACATACATTTATTGGACAAATTTAGAAGTTGTACTGGTCAAACGTAACTCCTACTTCACATTCTGCTCATTTCGAACATTTATACGAATTTCTCAGAAATTACACATTATACAAAAAGTTGGCTTTTAACAGTTTCTGAAATAATATATTTGTGTCTATAGCAATTGAATACAAAGATAACATTACGCCACCTACCTTTATTACTGATGACGTCACCAGTCACGCGCAATTCACCAATCGTCACAGCCCTTCAGAATCGATCCGAATATGTTTATTTCCTGAACAGCAGTGCTACTTTTACTGTCATTTCTTTGGTTTACGCGGCGGCGGTAAACGATACAGTATTACACTCTTAGTACGTGTAAACTTTCAGCCAGGTGTTTCGAATGTGAAAACACAAAACAAATCATTACAACGGAATTCAGTGAAGATAATAGACACTTGGCTATAAACACCTTACATTGATCGCATTATAATCCCTATTTTACAGACAAACTCCGGAATTTCGCAGTGTGAATGTCAGGACATAAAGTGAAAATACAAAATGAAACCCCACAAACATTACGGAAAGGAAGTAACACTTAGGCCGCTTATGCTGCAACATTGTGATGGAAAACTGCGCAGTGTTTTCTGACTACATATAAACCCTTCGCTGATCCTTTCCAAATAATGCGGCACTTGAGGTTCAGATGACAACGAGACTTGATTAAATTGGCCCACGTCCGCCATGTGCAGAGAATGACGCACGGTAGTGTATGGACTCTTGCTTGTGGAGGGGGGGGGGCTTCAATATATGGCTTA